TGCGGTGCCTGGCCACTTGACGGAGGATTTGCACCTCTACTCCCTGAGTGACCTCGTCGCCACAAAGAAAGGGGACCTGGTGCCTCTCCTGACGGAGCTCCTGAAGGCAGGCAGCCTGCACATTGAGAAGTGCATGGTAAGGCCTCCTCACCTGCCTCCTGCATGGCTCTGCATCCTTGGGAGCACCCTTGGGAGCAGGCTTTGCTGCAAAGAGAACCAATGGGGAGGGCTTTGACATGCAGGGCAGCCACCAAATTAACTGATTCAACGCTAACTGCTGCCTGCTGCACAGAGCTCCTATCCAGCACGTACGGGTTGTTTGTTACTTCATTTTGGCTCTCCCCCACCCCTGACATATGTTGATTCTTTCATGCTGTGCTCCATGCTGGGGAAGGGCTGTCCCATGTGGTTAGAGCAGGGCACTGTGTCCTGCTGTCCTGCTCTGCTCTATCTCCTGCCGTGCTTGCCAGGGAGATGAGGAGCATTTAGCTGCTTTTTCCTCACCTTTTCTCCTTCCAGCTGTGCCAAGCCAAAGGCTTCATCTGCGAGTTCTGCCAGAACGAGAGCGACATCATCTTCCCCTTTGAGCTCAACAAGTGCAGGACATGTGAAGGTGAGATCCTGGGGAGACAGAGGGAGGGGACAGACCCTGGGCTGACCAAGGTCTGCCTCCAGTTTGAGCAGCATTTGTGCCAGCAAGAGGTACAGAGCCAGACATGCATGCCTCTGTGCATGGCCTGTGCCTCTGCACCACGCTATCACCGCAGCAGATCAGCATTATAACAGCGTTTGGCCAGAGCTGCTGGTGTGGTGGAGTGTGTAGGTCCCTGACCGCACTGTGTGCTGCCTGCCCTGGCAGCAGCGGGCAGTCGGGCTGTGACTGCAGTGAGCGGGGGTCTGGGAGCCCTGGTGTCCCTTCTGCTGTGGTTATGGGACAGGCTGCAGCCTGCATGCAGCTCCCCTGCCCCTGCTTGGATGGCTGGAGCTGACCAGAGAGAGCCTGAAAGCTTTGTCTCTGTGCCCTTCCTGCCTGCTGAGAAATTCCTGGGCCCCTCCAAGACTCATCCTCAATAATGCCCAGTACTAATGGCCAAGCAGAGCTTGGTCCTGCAGTGTGGAGCCAACCTCTGAAGTGGCTTGAAATGCAAGCCTTGGTTTGGCAAGCACAGTGCCAAAGAAAACTTGGGACAGAGTCACTGTTTCCTTAGAGAATCAGTAAAGTTTGGGGAGGGACCTTGTGCAGAACAGGAAACCTCCTGCCTGTGTTCCCAAAGGCTTTGCAAGCCAGTGCTGGGACCCTGCAGCATGACTTCTTGCTGCTCCCAGAACAGTGCTGGACCCCTGCTTCTGGTGCTTGTTCTGCCATGGCTTTAGTTTGAAATGTCCTCCTGGACAAGCCTGGAGCATCTGTCCCTGGGGTGCAGAGCGTCAGGCAATCTGTGCCAGCCTCTGCCAGCTCTCAGCCATGCTCTCCCCCGCAGAGTGCAAGGCCTGCTACCACAAATCCTGCTTCAAATCCACCCGTTGTCCCCGCTGCGAGCGGCTTCAAGCCCGGAGAGAGCTGCTGGCCAAGCAGAGCATGGAGTCCTACATCTCGGACTACGAAGAAGAGCTGGAGCAGCCGGAGGCAGTGGCAGCCACATGAGCATGTTGCAGCGGAGGAGCAGATTGTGGGTTTATTTATGTGCGTGGCCTTCATCACCAGATACAGAGCCATGCAGACTGGAGATGAGGAGGACTGGCAGGAGGCCTGGAGTGCTGTCTGGAAGGGATCTGTTTTCCCCTGTGCAGTAGTGCTGGGCTGGGAAAGGGGCATCTTCCATCGTCCAGGTCTGCTCCAGGTACTACTTGCACTCCCTGCTGCCTTTGCATGGGGAAAGGCAGCTCCTCCTGCCCATCCTGAAGGCAGAACAGGGGCCATTTCTGAGCAGTTGTTCATGCTAGACCAGGCAGGGCTGTGCTGCCAGTCCCCATGCCCTGCTCCCCGGCAGGGTCCCTTGAGGGGTCAGCACTTTCTGCTCATCAGCTGTATACTAGGAAGCTGTGGCCACGTCTGCTCCTTGGAGGGGGAAGTCAGCTCTCAGAGTCCTTTGATCCCCTGTCCTGTTGCTGGGAGTTGTGTGCATGGAGGGAGGGTGGGGGCTTGGGATTGGTTGTACATTTAACAGCTCCCTTTGTCAAATCCAGCTTGGGACACTGCTGGTGAGCAGTTGCTCTCACTCCAGAATCAGAGCAGAGGAGGTGGCAGTGGTGAAAACACCAGATTTCTGCCTTGCCTCTGCCGTGCCATCTGTGCTGAGCTGCTTTCCATGCCCTCTGCCTGCAGCCAGTGCTGCAGAGGGGCATTGCCCCCGGAGCAGCCACACAAGGGGACCAGTGCTGCTGGGCTTTCGGCAGAGGCAGATCCCCATGGCCAGAGGATGCAGTCAGCGAGGTTTCCAACCCTGCTTCCTCCTCATGCTGCCGGTCTGTCCTCCTGGGGGGACATGGGACCTCACTCTGATGGTACCAGGACCTGCCTTGGGTGCAGCTGCCTTCTGCCCGAGACCTGTCGGGTTGTGGGTGAAGGCTCAGCCCTCCAGCCACATCCCCTGAGCCTCTGTCTCGGTTTGTTCTTTTAGGTTGAGTTTTGTTTTTTTAATCATCTGCTGGATTTGGTTTTATTTTTTTATGCAGTCGTTTGTATTTTTAACTGTGTGTTTCTGCCCCACCAAGGAGGTGCTGCTTGAAATGCCTTTTTAAGGGACATGTGATCTGCTTGGGACTCACCGGTATTAAACCTCCAGGACTGTCCTGCTCCTGGTTCCTCACCCCTGGATGGGGCTGGCATTTGCCAGGTGTCCCCTATCCCAGCAGATCTCCTGCTCCCCTTGGGAGAGGGGTCCCTGTGCCAGGCAAAGCCTCAAGTCTTCCCAGCTGCGGTGCAGCGGGGTGGCCAGGCAGCCTGCTTGCAGTGGGGGGTGCACAGGGAAGAGGGGTTTGGCACTGGGGTGCTGCAAAGGCTTGGTCCCTCGCCTATGCAGAACTACCTGCCACGACTGATGGCTCCGCGGGGTCGGACCTGGTGGTACAAGGTGAGCTCTGTGCTCTGGGGCTAGCGGTCAGTCGAAGAGGTGCCTCTGTATCGCAGGGGTGTGCTTTAGCCCATGGCACAGGTGAGTGTCCAGCACTGCCGTAGCATGGGTGGGATGTGGGGTGGCAGTGGGGTGTTTGGAAGGACGGTGTGGCCTGTGTATGTGTGAGAAGGGCGTTGAGGGACTGGGGAGCAATACAGTGGCAGAAGGCATCTCGGGGCAATGGCTCTTGCAGCACATGCCCTGGCTTGGGGCTGGGATGTGACCCCTCGTGGGCTGTCCCTGCAGGGGTGGGGGAACAGGGAGAGGTTGGGACCAGGAGAGGTGGCAGCAGGGTTTGGTCAGGGAGGGTGGCCACAAGCCTCGCTGCATGGCAGCATCTCACGCTGATCCGCAGCATCCTGACAAAGCCAGGTAAGCCCAGGAAAGGGGATTCAGCTCCCCCACTCACTTCCTTGGGTTTTTTCCCTCCTCCGGTCTTGCTTCTACTTGTTTTCTCCAGAGGAGCATTTGCTTTCCGTCTCTGCAAGCCCTGGGGCTGCCAGCCGGTGGTCTGCCATGGTCTTGCCTACCCCTAACCCCAAGCTGAGTCCTCCTCCTGCTGCCCAGAGCTGGCACCCCCCTCCCTGGAGCTGCCTCAGCAGCACACCTCCATCCACCCTGTTTTGTTTGAAGCACTTTAATGTCATGGGACAGCAGCTGAGAGGCTGCCCAGGTCCCTTTCTAGAAGCACTGAGTACATGTAGAGAAGAGGGAAGGGATTTTGGCTTATTTGTGGTTTCAATCCTCCGCCATGGACTTTGTCTGGAAGTTGTGGGACTTGCGAGCCCTGTGGAGGTCTCCAGGGCAGGGTTGTGCCCAGCACTGACATTGCTGCCCAGCACTGAATGCTACGAGCAACTCTGGAACTGGCCAAGCCAGTGAGCTCTTTGTAAGGGAGAGCCAGGGGCGGCCCCGGCCGTCAGCTGGAGCTCTCCCCACGAGACTGTTGCACAGCATAGCAATGAAAATACCGTCCCTAATAAACTAAGTTAATAAGGGGCCTGGTTGTGTTGTGGCATCATTTCGGGTGGGCTATGTTGGCCCCTGGGGCAGGGAGGGAGCAGGATGCACTAGCAGAGGGGGGACAATTTGTGCAACTGGTGATGCATCGCCAGATGTCACTGGGAGGGGGTTATTGTCACCACCCCTTGACTAATCCATCTGGTTTGTGGCCTTCTCCTGCAAACTGCCCACTGGACTCTGGGCGGGAGGTACAAGCTGCTGATTAAGGGGCTCTGTAACACCTGTCCCCTTCCCAAGCCTGCTTCACTGCTGGCAGAGGGGCCCACGGCCATGGCCTTGGCTGCCCTGTCCCTGCTTGCATCCCTGTCTGCACAGCCCAGCTCTCCCCTTGCAGCAAGGGTGTGCATCGCCTCATAAACACCATAGACACAGGAGATACAAGCTGTAAACTTTAAAACAACTGTTGAAGGATGCATGTGCAAGCCCCGCGCAGTGCTGCCTCCACATGGAGCGAAGCAGGGCTTCCCTGCAGGCAGCACGGCACAAGGAGCCAGTTCCTGCAGGCTTTTCCCCAGAAAAGCCCTGCCCAGACTAAATCTAAGCTGTGGTTAGCAGCAACAATGGCGATTTGGGCTTGCTCCTGAGCACAGTGGTTGAAGAAAAGGTTTCTGGCAGGTACGGCCCCGCTGAGGATGGGCTCTTGCAGCTGCCCGCCGGCCCTGCAGGGCTCCAGCAGCTGCCCCAGCTCAAGCAGGGGGTGATGGCAGAGAAAAGACCTGCAAAACCCTGGGGTTTGCTGCTGTTACAGCAAGCCCGGGACGATCCCTGGCTGGGGTATAAGGTGCAAGCTGGCACCTTGGCAAAGGCATGTCTGTCCCCAGCACAGAGGGGCATGAGGGATCTCAAGGCATGCTGTGCCCGTCACTGGGAGAGTGTGCAGGGGGCGTAGCGGCGCTCGAACTGGCCCACGTCGAACTTGCGCTTGCAGCCAGCGTAGTTCATGTAGCGGATCTTCCCGAAGACGGCCCGCTCTGCCCAGCCCTGGTCGTGTATGCCGCAGATGGACCAGAGGCAGCCTGCCAGGCATGGAGATGGAGCATCAGCTCTCCCTCTTGCTCAGAGGCATCCGGAGAGTGGGTGGGGTGTGGGTGCAGAGCAAGGTGGGCTGGAGCATGGGCTGGGTTGTCTGCAGAGAGCCTTCCCCCCACCCACCGTGGCCTTGGCTTTCAGAGATCAGCCCCCCCACCCCCGTGCCCTCCTCCTGCAGCTTGCCTACGTATCCATTGGGGTCCCTCCCATCCAGCTCGTAGCGGTCATTGAGGTAGATGGCAAACTGCAGGGCCTCCTCGGGGGAGCGGGTCCACTCCAGGATTTTCTTGGCCCAGTACATCCGTAGGAAGCCATGCATCTTGCCTTCCCGGACCATTTGGAGCTGGGGAGAATGAGAGCGCCACAGGGGTCAGTCCGTGCCAGCTTCTCCCTGCTCTCAGGCAAAGGCTCAGCGTATCAAGAGGGGGAGACATGGGGCACTACCTGGGCAGCATTCCAGAGCGGGTCATGTGTGGTCCCTTGTTCCAGCTCCTGCAGCTTGTAGAGAAAAGGCCTCTTGTCTTTGGCGTGGAGCTTCAGGGTGGTTTGCGCCCAGTCATAGGCACCTGAGAGCAGGAGAGATGAGGAGCAACGCTGAGCAACCTGCTCCTGCAGGGCCCTGAGGAGGGATGGGGAATTGGGCTACTGAGGGCACCATGCCCTGGAGGCACTGGCCTTGAAGAGGGCATCCGCCAGTTCCTGTCCTACCTCTAGAAGGTGCCAAATGATGGCATATTAGTGACCCCACAGCCCCTCTCCTAGCAGAAATGGGATTGCCAAGTTGGGGTGGTCAGTTGGGTACCAGCCTGGCCCCCAGTGTTACCCATCCAACCTAGGTTGCTACCTTGCACGCTGTCGTAGTTATCATTGTAGTAGCAAAAGTTTTCAGCCAGCTCCCGCCGCACCACGGCCTCTTCCACGAATGCATCCACCGACTCCTTGTACTTGCCCCGGTGCTTCTGCACTTCCAGGATGGCTCGTTGGGTAGAAACCTGGCCTGGGGACACAGGGAGGGAGCAAGTCAGGCTGATGGTCCAAGCCACCGTGCTCGGTCCTGCTGCAGAGTGGGAAGCCTGGGACACTCACCAAAGTGGAACCATGGGGACAGGTTGCTGAGTGCTGCCTTGTTGGGGTCATTCCGGTGGGAGCCAAAGGACTTCAGACGCTCTGCGATGAAGGACTGCAGCACAGCCAGCCCTGCAGCTGTGCCAGGGGTCGCCCACTCCACCTCCTTCACAGTGCGGTCCACCTGCAAGCTGGAATAACAGGCCTCCCAAGCGATGGGCTGGGCGGCGACCAAGCAGCATGAGTGCATTTGCAGATACCCTTCAGCCAGGGCTGCCCTGAGTGTTATTGAATTGAATGCACAAGGTGGGAACCTCCCTTCCCCAGGGCATCCCCTTCTCCACACCACCTACACATGACCTCAGGCAGGTCACTGTCCCCATCCCCTGCCATCCCCTCCCAGGATCACCAAGAAGCTGTGAAACTCTGGGGCTGGCTGCGAGCAGGTATGGAGACATCTCTTGCTGGTACCTGTGCTTGGCAGGAAGGGGGATATGGGTGACGAACAACGGGGGGGAACTCAGTGAGGAATTCGGGGAGCTGAGCATGGATCTTGCCCCGGATGGTCCTGGCGCTGTACTCCTGCTTGGGAGAGGTGATCCAGCAGGGCACAATGTTGTGGGCATCAACCTGTGAAGCAAAGCCATGGAGGAGGGTGTGAACAGAAGCAAATGGTCCTGATGACATGACACACACGCTCCCTGCTCAGGTCACTCCAGCGCACCTCTGCAAGCATGAAACACAGCAGACAATTTTCTCCCACGTCTCACCAGCCAGAGTTTTCCCCTCCCAGAGCGTGGGCACCCACCTGTGCAAACGGCACATCCTCCGGCAACCGCTCCCTGACGTCCTCCACCCACTGCCGGGGGAGGCGGAGGGGGCAGAAGTCTGTCACCAGCCCGCCCACGCCGTGCTCCACCATGAACGCAGGCAGCACGTCCTTGGCGTAGCCCAGCAGCAAGTGGAAGGGGATGTCAAGCTCTGCACACTCCTGCAGCGAGGGGGAAAGGGCTATGGGATGGTTTCTACCTCTGCAGACCCCATCCCACCACAATGCACTGAAGGGATGGCTCTGCCTCGCCCTCCTCCAGGAGCCCTGTCCCATCCAGCGTGGACATCCCCGCAGTAGCCGTACCTCAGCCACCTCCTGCAGGCCCCTCAGCATGAAGCCGTAATGGCGGATGGTGGCATCCAGGAATTTGGGCACCAGACAGAAGCAGACATGCAGAGGCAGCTCCTGTTTGAGGGCCAGGCGCTGGGCATAGAGGAAAGCCCAGTTATCTGGGGAGAAAGCACATGGGGCAGTGTTGGAGGGATGCTCTGCTGAGGAGATGGAGATGGCAGCATTTTGCAAGAGGAATCCCCCCAGTCTTCCCTGCAGAGGGGTGGACCAGCTCCAAGGGCTACCGTGGGAAGTGACCAAGGCTTTTGCCACCCCTGGGAGCTCCGTTTCCCATCCCTCTCCACCAGCTGGTTCACACCTTGCACCCGCTGGTCCCGGGACATCCAGTAAAGGATGCACCGAGCACCATCCTTCAGGTCCGAGCCCTGCGAGACGAGGCGAACCCGCTTTTTGTTGTACTTGAACTCCCGCACGGATGGGGCCGCCCTCCGCCGGGCCTCCTGCACCGCCTCCTCTTCCTCCTCTTTCCTCCTCCTCCGCGACACGGGTGGCAGCTCCGTCCCCTCGCTCTTTCGCTTCCCTTGTCCCCGCCGCATCCTTACAACTGCCCGGGCCAGCACCCGGAGCAGCGTGGTTGCCTGTGGCCGCTGCGAACCAAAAACGGGACTGTAACCGAGCTACCGGTGCCTTGCCCAGCCCGGTCGCCCCCAGAACCCGCGGTTTGGGGGGTGAGGATGCCGGTGCTCTGCCCATCCCCATCCCCGTCCCCATCCCCGCTCCGCTCCCGGGGGGCCCGGTCCCGGGTCCCGG